TTTAAACTCTAGAGAATTAAAGTAAATCCTTTAAAATCCACACTTATTACATTTACTCTAAGAACAGGTATATGTCCACAAGTTAACCTCGATAGACATCCGTTACTCCAAAAGAATGACGTAAAATATCTAGGGATTCATCTGGATAAACAATCGCTAATGCTCCTTGGTATATCCAGAATGACGCCTTACATAGAGATCTGCAGATACTAACAGTCTCTGAAGAGTACAAAAGAATTTCTGAACAGTTTCTAATAATAATAAATATCTTTATATTTCTGTACTTCTTCTTCAGTGCCTTATCCGGTCCGGATGTTGGCGATCATCAAGGCTATCATAGTTTTGTTGACTGCTCTGCGAAACAGCTCCGCTGAGGTCATCCCAAACCATTGTCGGATATTTTTCAACCACGAGATACGACGGCGTCCCGGTCCTCTTCTGCCAAATACTTTACCCTGCATACCGAGTTAAAGAATTCGATATTTTTCTTCGTTCCGCATCACGTGGCTTAGGTACTCAAGCTTACGTTGTTTAATTAAATTAAGCACTTCTTTTTCTTTTGTCATGCGCTGTAAGACCTCAACGTTGGTGACATGGTCCACATAAGTTATTTTTAGTATCCTTCTGTATATCCACATCTCGAAGGCTTCGATTCGTTTTTCAGTGGCTTGCGTCAGTGTCCAGGCTTCAACTCCATATAGTAACACTGGAAGAACGTAGCACCTCACTATCCGCATCTTGGTTTCCAAACTGAGATCACTGCAGCACAGCACATATTTCTGTACCCCGGAGGTAAAGGACACTATGTCCATTTTTATCAAAATTGGGATTATGCAACTTTTCTTGCTCTACATAGAGGTAAACCATACTAAATCCAGAGACAATTTTACAGCAAGTTACCGACTTTTTATTAGACACCAAGTCCACTTCCAGTCAGAGGTAAACAATACTATGTTGACTTTGTGTTGTTTACCTCTACTAAATGTGTGCACGGTTATTAACCAACCGGACATGGTGTTATGTACTCTGGTACCTGATGGAATTGTCATGAACTAAAATAATTGTAACCATTTTATTTAGTTCGCAATAGTGTTAGTTTGTTAAAAGTTGTACAGAACATCTGTTGTTTAATAATTGCAAACTGGATTTAAACTCTCGTGGAAAAAGAATACTACAATTACTGTCATATAATATTCCTAATGAGACAACACCTACATGTAAGCTATTGTTTAATAACACAGATTTATTATTTTGCTAACCTCAAACCAGGTACCTACACCAGCGAAAACAAACGTAAAAGAGAAAGATATTAGTACTCCTACTACTAGTGGGGCAATAACAAAAAATGTTCTTAAGAACGATTTATTCCTTAGCAGTGATGCAGGCAATTAAAATTAACATAAATGAAGTTACCATGGAATGCTCTGAAAGATTGCCAGAATACGAAAAACAAAAAATCTTACAGTAAAGAGTCAGCGATTGAAGGTATGCAAGGTTATGTTTTTAGACACACTTTGTATATCTAATTAAGTAATAGTGAATATGTTTAAAAAAAAGTGAGCCAGGAGGTTTAGTAAGAGCTGATCATAGAGGTAGACACACGCTAATCAATAAAACTCTTACCGAAACCATAAATAGTATACATCAACATATTAATTTTTTCCCAGAGTACTAGAGTCATTATTCCAGAGAAAAGGCAAGAGAAATTATCTAGGCACAGAACTTACAATAACTACATGTATTAACTGTACATTGATGAATGCAATGAAAAACATGAAATTTGAAAGTAACATCATTAATTTGAAAGTTTTTAGTGAAAGGGCACACACATGGAAGCAGACAGTGTTCATGCTTTGATCGAGAAAAAAAGAAAAAAACTCTCCAATTTGGCCATTTTAACACCATGGCACTGGCAACAGCTAGTTAGGCAAACATTAGGTAAATACACAGTGCACAATATGAAACTTGCAGATTTCAAAAACTTCAAAACGTTGTACGATAAGAAACTGTCACCTTATTCTCCTTTTGTAAGTAGAAAAAAGAATGTTAAAAAAGAGCCTGTTTTACTGTCAACATGTGGTTTTCGACAAGTCCAGCAAAAACACATTGGAAAGGTCTTTTATAAGACCGATTTTAATAATCAAAATTTGTATCAGGTAGAATTTATGAGGTATCGAAGACAGCAAGTAATGTTTCCAGCCCAATTAAATCAAGTCTCAGTAATCTCATTACCAATTACATATTTATTGCCATAAGGCAATAAGAAAGGCAATAGTGTGTTACAAATACACTATTGCCTTTGCGTTGGTTTGTCATGGGTTTTATCAAAATTTAACACATAGAAATGTAGCCGCAAACGATTACCTCCAAGAAGATGAAGATGATATGGAGAGCCTCTATAACAATTTTGAGACTGGTAGTCTAGAATTTTACTTAATTATTATAACATTATAATATTTGTCTCTTATAAAATAACAGGATAGGTTATTTAATGTGTTTGTTTTGTTTATTTCGTAGAGGCCTTAACATGAAATGTCACATTATTTAAAAAAGTTGTTAGAGGTAAACAACAATATCCAATAAAGTATAAGAGGTAGAATATAATTGTTATTATATTCTATTTTATCTATAGCAATAGTAGTGTTACCTTTGTCTGCTTTTGTATAATAACAAAACAATAGAATTCTTAAATAATCAAAATATTGAAACTTTACACAAAGATCCGACAGAAAAATATCAAAAACAAATTAAGCTAGCGTTAGAAAATTCAAAATCAATACTAAATCCAACAGAACAAAAATACCTAAATATCATGAACCCCCGGCCTCCTAAATTATACTCTTTCATTAAATTACACAAACCGAATCACCCAATAAGACCTGTAGTTTCTTTTTATACAGCTCCGTCATCTAAACTTTCAAAAAAACTGTTAGAGATTATTTTAGAACACACTAAATTTTCACCTAAATTTACCATAAAAAATACAATAGAACTAGTTAATAAAATACAACATTTTCAATTACCTAACAACTCCAGATTAATTTCATTTGACGTAAAAAATATTTTTCCTAGTATCCCTCCTACAGAAACTTTTAGAAGTTAAAGTAAAACCCTCTAGTAAAAAACCTTTTAGACCAAAATAGTACAAATCCAATAATTACATCTGAAATTTTTCATCTTCTTGAAGTTTGCATAAACCAGGACTACTTTGAGTTTAATAATAAAATTTATACAAATAACAGTGCAGGGCTTATAATGGGTAATCCTCTAAGCCCATTGCTATCAGATATTTTTATGGATCATCTAGGGACAAAGATTTCAAAACATCCCGTATTCAAACAGTTTTTATATTGGTGGAGATACGTAGACGACGTACTGGTATGTTTCACAGGAACTAACAGGCAACTCGACCAATTTTTATCGTATATTAATTCACTTCATAGTCATATTGAATTTACAATAGAAACACAACAAAATTAATCCATAAATTTTTTAGATTTAAAAATTAGCAGACTTCAAAACAAACATGACTTCTCCATATTTCATAAACCTACCCATACTTATACGACTATACACAATTCATCATCCCATCCAACACAACATAAACTGACAGCTTATCATAGTATGTTACATAGATTAACAGAAATTCCGATGTCAAAATACAGCTTTGAGACAGAATTAAATATAATTAAGCAAATAGCAGTAAACAACGGATACAACGAACAAACAATTAATAAAATGTTAAATCAAAAACTACACAAGAAAGCCCTGAAATTAGTATTTCCACCACCAAAGAAAAAACCCAGTACCTTCTGCTCGATTACATATACAGGCAAAATAACAACAAAAATTGCCAAACACATAAAAAAGAAAGGAATAACACCAGCTTTCCGAACAAATAACAACCTAGGCAAATATATTAAAAATAACAAGAGCCAAAATAAAAAACACTTAAATAGTGGTGTATACAAACTTCAATATGGCGACTGCCCAAAAACTTACATCGGTTAAACTGGTAGAAACTTTGATAAACGAATAACAGAACATAAAAGGGCTTTCAAGAATAGAAAAACAGATTCGACATACGCACTTCACCTTCTAGATCATAATCATTCTTTTAATGACAAATTTAAAATTCTTCACATTCAAAATAAAGGCCTTAAGCTATCTTTGTTAGAATCTATGGAAATCAACAAATTAAAAAACACAGATATAATTCTGAATGACCAACTTGAGACAAACAGTTCTCCCCTCCTCAACCTATTTCATTAGATACTATAAATTTGTAAACCCAAGCCAAAAATAGATCACTTGAGAAAGGCAATCAGCCGAAACAGCTGTAGTGATAAGTTTTAAAATAAATTTTGTGGAAGTTTGAAAACAAAGTTTTCAGTGTTTTATTATTACAACTATAATATTATATTAATCTTGATTAAATATAAAAACGTTCGAGTATTTACTGATTTACAAAATTTAAAAAATGTTATAATTGCTCTCCTGAAAAAGTAACAAATGGACATAGTGTCCTTTACCTCCAGGGTACAGATTTAGTTCAAGACTTTATTCTGGTATTTTCCTAGTAAATGTTAAGTGTTAAGCAGTATGATTGCTTGACAGTATGATATGGCATTGAAATTTATTACTGATAATAATACATTTGTAGTTGTACTAGCGGTTTATATAAAGCAAGATGCGGTTATATTTAATAGTAGATTTGACTCCTTGTTACAGTTGCATTCAAATATTCTTACGGTCATAATCCTACAATTTATTGTTTTTGTTAAGGATTCCGTAACAACAACAGAACTATTGTTTAGCAAAATCAAAACGGTACTTAAATACAGATCCCTTTTGACTGAGATTTACATAATACTAGTGGTAAAAATAAAAATTATGTTTCCTATATTAAGTTCTATATTAAGATAATCACCCGATAGAAACAGACAGGGTATTGAATAAACATGTTATGTATGTAATATTAATATTATTTTTATTTCTAGATTTAAAACTAAGCAACAACAAAATAAGTAACATATCTGTAGAGTCATTCCATTCAGCTAACATTAAAGAACTCCATCTTCAAAACAACCTAATAACCGAAATCAAAAACGGGACATTCGCAAACCTCCAAATGAGCCAACTGCTTCTCGAAAATAACCAGATAGTTGACATCGAAACGGGAGCTTTCGAGAATTCGACGTTTCAATCCATAAACCTAGATGGGAATAAACTTAGATCAATCAGACACGGCGTTTTCGATAATACCAAAGTGGCGTTCATTTCGATATTGAGAAATGACGGGATTAACGAAAGAGCATTCAACAACGTGTCGAACCTTTGGGATTCCAAAAGTGACACGAACAAATTAGATGTTCGAAGAACTACCGATAAAGTATTGGCGGATGAGCCGTTTTAAACAAAAACCGCATTTTGTATAGTAAATACATCTTTATTTGGAAACTGTTGTTTTCTGTTTGTATTCTGTTGTAAATATAAAGCTTAAGTAAGATACTATTTTAGCGTTTTTGATGTGGACGTCATTAAATGATACAAAAAAATTAGTACATGGACGTTTTCACAAGTGAAAGATTTACAATATCAATAAATTGTTTATATTTCGTACGTGATAGATCTCAATTAAATTTTATGTGGAATCAGGAAGTCCCCAGTCGTGTTTGTCCCCTATAAAGCAATTTACCCCGTTTTACACAATTATTCCAAAGACGACAACCCTCAATTAGGTTAATTGATGAGAGGAGATAAAGCCTCGCCAAGCTCTAAGTAAAATATATTTCGCGACGTGTCTGAAGGCTTAAACTAAGGTGTTTTTAGACCTGCATACAGTAGCATCTTGAAAGATTAAGGCGGAAATTGGCTGATTAATAGTCGACTTACCTAAAGTGAAGCGATGAATGTAAAAGATTTTTATTAGTTTGTTTTACTGTAAATATGTAACTTGTTATTTTTGTGTGTTGTGTCCTACAATATAGGTACGTATCTGCATAATTATTTCTGCTAATATAATTAACAAGCCAGAAATAAAAACGATTTAAGTATTGAGTGACTAACATTTTTATGGAGAAAGAACCATTATAACCCTAGAAAGGTGAACTATTATTTACCGACAGTTATGGTGGACTATCGTAATTTTTACGACATCTAACAAAAAATTGAAAAAAAAACTACAAATGTAGTTATAAACACTTTTATTACAAAAAATTAGAAAAAATGTAAGTCTTAGTAAGTGGTACACATATAAATAAAGTCGATGTACACTACTCGTTTGCACACATTGTACATATAACTACCTCGGTGTTCGCCACATATAGCGTGATGGCATTGGTTGCAATATGTGGTAGTCATGCGCCTCTTTTTACTCGGACAATGGAAACATGCCTTGCGTTTTTTTTTTTTTTCAGGTAACGGACGTTCAACTTCTTCGGAAATTTTGAGGACATCTTTAATAGTTTGCTTAAGATCTCGACGTAAAGTTGGAATACACAATCGTTCTTTCAGCCAAGGTTCGGCGAGATGACGAGCCAATTCAACCATATATTCGTATCTGGATAAAACTTTTCTGTTTGCTTTTAATGTGTTTGTGGTGTAAATAACATACGAGTTAATACTTGCAATATTTATCATATTATAGAAGATACACAAAGGCCATCTCCTCGTTTTACGACCCGCATTCATATTCATAACACATTTGATCAAATGTATCCACTCCGCCTTTTGTTCCATTATAATCAGTTATTATAGTGGGTTTGCCATTTATTTTGGAAACTTCAGCACCTTCGTGAAGTGTTGAAAGAAGTAAAACTACCTTATTTTTCTTTGGCATATATGATACCAATGTTTTTCTTTTATCAAAACAAAACATAGATGTATTGGGGACTCTGTTCTTTACATTGAACAATTCCTGTGGAATTTCTCTTTTATTTTTGCGAAGAGTTCCGATAATTGTCAGTTTGTACTGATCTTTTAATAACTCCTCTGCTAAGCTAACTGATGTAAACCAGTTGTCCATGGTAATATTTCTGTTACTACCATGAACTGATTTTGTAAGTTTCTTTACAAAATATGTACCCAACGGCAAACCATTTGTATTGGTTTTCTTGCCTAAATAAGGAATAGCATCGATCATATATTTCGAAGAGCTGTCACACATCATTACGATTTTGAGACCATAAAAATTAGGTTTATCAGGTAAATACATTCGAAAATGGCAACGTCCTCGAAATCCTACTAACTGTTCATCAATAGTCAGATAGGATGAAGGTGTATATGATTCTCTGCAGGTGGTAATAAAAATGTCCCATATTTCGCGCATATGCGCAAAAGGATCATCCTGCTGCCTTTCTTTTCGTGTTTCCTTTTCATCAAACCTAAGACAGTTTATGAGATATTTGAAACGCTGACCACTCATGCAAGCCTGATAAAATTTTCCTGATATATTACTGTCAAACATATATTTCACAGATAGATGACTGTCTTTATTTGCTGCAGACATTATCAAAATTGCCAATAAAGCTTGTAGCTCATTTTTTACTCATGTCAGAAATATTAGGACGACTGGCATATTTTTTAGATTGTCTTGTAATTTCAGTATTTAAGTGTAACAGAGTACGACATAATATATCCTCTAAACAAAAAATGTAAGAAACTATTCTTCAACTTTTGTGTAGTTTTTGGCATTTCCTTTGGGACCAGCTATAAAATGAATGATATTTCTAGCTGCCGTTCTTTTTGACAATGAAGGTATTTTGTTTGACCACTTATGCCCGTTTTTGCCTTTTAGAGCCTTTCCCGGATTTACAATAAACTGAGAAACAGTGGAGTTCTCACCTGATTTTCCAGGTACTTCTTCTGTAGATTTTTCGCTTTCCACCACTATTACTTTTATATCTGCATCCATTAAATTTACAGATGAACTGGATACACTGGATGGCTAGAAAATTTTGGAATTACCACTATTTTTAGAGTCATCTTCTTCATCTGAATCGTCCGATTCAAACTCCAAAGCATCTTCTTCTAACTCCCAGTCACTTCCACTATCTTCAAAAGGTTCCTGCTCACTATCTTCACCATTCATTATACGCTGTATTTCATCGTTTATTTCACTTGCCGTTAAAGGTTTTCGTGATGACATAGTGCTACAATTAAATAAAATAATATTTACTACAAATATAAAAAAGAATTAGATAATGACTTACCAAAAACGTCACCGGCATCCAAATAAACTTGAGAGAAAAAAACTAACGTAGAAGGTGGACTTTCGTAAAATTGACGACGTGCTCTCAAAAAATCTAATACATAAATACAGTAGTGGAGAAACACACTCACCGCTTGTTAAATCAAGACTAAAGAAACAGCTACTGAGAAATGGGCAGAGGTTACGCAACTGCACCCGAACTGCGACGAAAACCGAGGAGCGTCGTCAAATTTACGATAGTCCACCTAGGGTTAAACAAGAAAATCGATTAAAAAATAATTCAAACATCAATAATTGATCATACATTATTTCATCGACTTTGGACTTTGGATACTTTTCAGCGATCTTAATATTCTCTTGATTTTTTTATAGAGTATGCGTTTGTACGTTTTTTATATAACTCTACCTGGATTGGTATGAAGTGAAGTCAGTAGCTCTATAACCGATGCAACCGGACCCAAGCCCGGATAAAAGAGGAGGGACAAAGGAGTCACACCTCTTAAAAAAAAACAGGGTTTAGCTGACCCAGCTGATAGCACCCTGTGAGAATCCCTGACTGGGGTACAAGTGAAAACCGGCCAACGGTCTCGCGAGCAGAGGATGGCTGGACAAGTCACAATAGTCTAGAGGGCGGAAGAATTAAGACCGTCTGATTCAGAATAGGCGGCTGAAGAAAAGGTCCTCCAAACGGGGGTTGTGGCGTTAGAGTAAGAAAAACGAAAATTGCAGAATGAAAAAGCCAAATACAGAAACACATCCCTGGGTGGAAATCCACAGGGAGGGAGCTCCATTGGATACGAAATGTGAAGAGATCGGAAGAACCAGTCTTATCAAAGCTCAACCAAAAATCAAAACGAAGAAAAGATAGAACATTCATATGTGCGTGCAACGTGGAATATACAGGATGGAACCAAAAGGCGATGGAAGTAATCAAGGAGTTTGGAGAAAGCAACATCGACATACTAGTAACAACAGAAACCAAAAAGAAAGGATGGAACGAAAACAATAAAAGACCGTATCCACTGCTGGAGCGGAGTTGATAAAGAATGTACACTAGAGAGTAGAAAAAATAAGCATTTCACGGAACAACTTCAACATCAAATAGTGCTAATAAACAAGAACGTGAAGATAATTATAACAGGAGACCTTAACGGCAGAACCGACAGGAAAGAAAACGATAAAGTAGTGGGGAGATTTGGAGAGGATGGACAAAATGATAACAGAGAACGTCTGTTCTAAGTAATAATAATATCATCAATATTAAGATTATTAGTATAGAATATGTCTGTAACAATTTTCCTGAACACAAGTTCATTCTAACAGAAGACTACAATCTGCCAAACAGCGAATGGTACCATGATGACAGAGGTGTCTTTAGTAATAATAGTAACACTGCTACTGATACTTTAGTTGATACTTTTGCATTTTATAACCTATTTCAGCTCAATCAAATCACAAATTGCAACGGTGTTTTACTTGACCTACTTTTTGCAAATGATAATGAAAATGTAACAGTTGAAATTGCTAATGAGTATTTATTGCCTTGTGATCGTTATCATCCTTCGTTATCAATTTCTTTAACTATAAACGATAATATGCCCGAGCTTAATATAATAATTTTGCCTTCAATTTTAGGAGAGGAGACTATGTTGCTCTTAATATGTATCTTGCTAGTATTTCCTTGGAGAACGTTTTAGGTATTTGCAGAGATATTAACGAAGCCACGGAACTGTTCTACTCCATATTGCAGTTTGGTGTCAATTGTTCAATACCACGTACAAGATTAAAAAATCCCAAATTTCCTCGTTGGATGACTAATGACCTAAAATCATTAATATTTAGGAAAAAATTGCTCAAAAGATATTAAATAAACAAATTCTTGGCACAATTATCTACTTTTCTCTTCCTTGAGAACCAAATGCAAAGAACTAAGCAGGTCTATTCAGTCAAACTGAATCTAGAATTAGTTCAAACGTAAAGCACTTTTGGAATTTTGTTAACAGCAAACTTCGACAAATCTTTTACTTTTCACGCAATACATATCTGATACTTTGGAAAGGAGACTACAGGTGGATGCTATTTATACAGATTTCTCCAAAGCATTTGACACTGTGAATCATAAATTGTTGTGTAACAAGCTTAAAACTATTGGATTTACAGGCAATATGTATAACTGGTTATGTAGTTACCTAACTAGCAGAATACAACTTGTTACAATTAAACACTTTCAATCTAGTGAGATCTCCGTAGCATCTGGTGTTCCACAAGAAAGCCACTTAGGGCCTTTCCTTTTTAGTATATTTGTTAATGATATTAAATCTCAAATTAACTCTAAATTTTTGCTATTTGCTGATG